CGGACTTGCACGGCGATGAAGACGGCGAAGGCAAAAAACAACGCCTTCGTCGCACAGCGCCGAAACGACGTGCGCACGCTGTTACGTCTAGCCTATGTCCAGCGCCAACTGCCGCACACAGGCTCCGCAACGCTGACCGCCTTTGGCGCAGCGGCGGAGCAGGAGCCTGCCGAGGACACAGACTCGGACTTTGAGATGTTGACCTAGACCGACGTGTGATTCAGATAGTTGTCTTCAGATGTGTGTGTGATTCAGATGTGTGTGCGTGTGATTTTCGGCACGGGTATAGATTAGAAGGAACGTATCGTCACACACACCCTCTTTGAGAGAGGGACACAGCGTGGTGCACAGTAGCGGGCTAGCTTCTACAGAGGCAACCGGTCCGAGGGCGAGCGTTGCGCTCGCCCTGATGCGCATGAGCGACGTGGAAGCTCCCGACCGTCGCAGATGCCACGGGCGACACCAATCCCAGCCTCAAAAGGCGAGGAGGGCTGGTGGAGTGCCCAGACGGCAGTGGCTTCCGAAGAACTTTTTGCGGGTGACGCAAAGGATCCGAGGAGAGAGCACCTCGGCTGCCGGCGAGGCATCCGCCCCGCGCCCACACATCTGATGGAAAGTGCGAAGAAGCGGTGGCGGCAGGCTAGCCACCGGTGGGGCACACGGAGCGATATGGCGTTCGGCTGCGATTTGAGTGCAACCGGGTGACGCATCTCCTCCACAGAGACGCGGGGACGGCGTGCCTGCGAGGCGCCCGATATGCGCCAACGGACCCAATGGAAAGTGCGAAGCGAGCACTCGACGGCTCGCAGCCTGTGGACGGAGCACGAGAGCTCGAACCTCGCACTCTCGTGCAAAATCGGCACCTCGGAGCCAGGGTTCGTGAGTGAATTTTCACACTTTCACTTTCACATGTGAATTCATGTGAATTTCACATGAAACGTTTCGGCCGCCCCCGTTTCACTGAAAATTTCACAAGTTCGACTACTTTCGAAGGCCCTGGCATCTCCGAGGCGGCGCAGCGGCGGAGGCGGCAGCAGTCGAGGCAGCAGCGGCGGAGGCGGCAGCGGAGAGAGCGGCGGTGCGCCTACCACTGCCGGCACCGGTAGGGATCTCTGTGCCACCAATGCCGCGCGTTCCTGCTTCCCTGCAGCGAGGCCGTGGTCAAGGCCGTGGTCGTCCCCAAGGCTCAAAGAACAGGGGCCCGCCCTCACTGCATCAAAACGCGGTGTTTGAAAGCGAGGAAGTGTAGAAAGGAAAGAGCCCACAATAACTAGTGAGAGGAGGTGCAGCTTGGTTCGTGTCCTCGGGCGCTCGAGGACGTGTGTGTTGCCTCAATGTTCTTTTAATGCGCGCCCCCGCCGAAATACACTGCAAATACACCATACACGCGAGATGCGTCGGCAGCGACGCGCACGACCTCTTAAGAAGCACCGTGTCGTTAGGGTTAGGGTTAGGGTTAGGGTTAGGGTCAGAGAGCGTTCAAGCCGTTGTGCAGCTCCTAAGAGAATGGTCCGGTTTGGGCCGAAACCAAATGGCGGAATCAGCGGTCCGTCGACACGAGCTCTCGGTGAACGCTTTGGGTTCTTCGGGCTAGGGTTAGGGTTGGGGTTAGGGTTAGGGTTAGGGTTAGGGTTAGGGTTAGGGTTAGGGTTAGGGTTAGGGTTAGGGTTAGGGTTAGGGTTAGGGTTAGGGTAAGGGGTTGGTTGTCGTCGCGCGCTCTCGATATCTGGCTAAGACAGAGACACAGCAGCAGAGGCGACCCAAGCGACACATCAGAGCATGGATGCTTGGGGGCGCGAGCCGCCATCTTGGACTGTGAGGCGAGTATTTGCAACCGGGAGCTCGCCGCCGCCCCTACACCGCCGCCGCCGCCCTCCCGGTGGCAAATAATAGCCCAAGTCGAAGAGTGCGCCCCGCCCTCGGTATCTGGGCGGCAGGCGGGACTAGAGAGGCACGCTGGTGCACGGATGGGGGCGCGAGCCGCCATCTTGGACTGTGAGGCGAGTATTTGCAACCGGGAGCTCGCCGCCGCCCCTACACCGCCGCCGCCGCCCTCCCGGTGGCAAATAATAGCCCAAGTCGAAGAGTGCGCCCCACCTTCGGTATCTGGGCGGCAGGCGGGACTAGAGTGGCACGCTGGTGCACGGATGGGGGCGCGAGCCGCCATCTTGGACTGTGAGGCGAGTATTTGCAACCGGGAGCTCGCCGCCGCCCCTACACCGCCGCCGCCGCCCTCCCGGTGGCAAATAATAGCCCAAGTCGAAGAGTGCGCCCCGCCCTCGGTATCTGGGCGGCAGGCGGGACTAGAGAGGCACGCTGGTGCACGGATGGGGGCGCGAGCCGCCATCTTGGACTGTGAGGCGAGTATTTGCAACCGGGAGCTCGCCGCCGCCCCTACACCGCCGCCGCCGCCCTCCCGGTGGCAAATAATAGCCCAAGTCGAAGAGTGCGCCCCGCCCTCGGTATCTGGGCGGCAGGCGGGGCTAGAGTGGCACGCTGGTGCGCGGATGGGGGCGCGAGCCGCCATCTTGGACTGTGAGGCGAGTATTTGCAACCGGGAGCTCGCCGCCGCCCCTACACCGCCGCGGCCGCCCTCCCGATGCGTCGAGAGTCGACTCTCGACTGCTGAGAGAGTTCATCCCACCATCAGCACCGTATTCGCCCACAGCATGCCATGAGATTCATATAGGTCTAGTGTACACATCAGCTCAGCGAGACCAATATCTCCAGCCTCCTTCATCTTGGCTGCTGCTTGGGAGCCAACACCTGTGCAAGTGAGTGTCAGAGTGTCGGAACTCGGTGGGAGCATCCGTCATCATCACGTTCACACGACTCTTCACACTCGCTCGAAAAAGTGAAATTTCGTTTCACATGAAATGTGAAGTGAAAGTGAAAGTGAAACCGATTCGCTGTTTCCATGTGAAATCACGAACCCTGCTCGGAGCACCTTGTGATTTTTGGGTCAAAATCGTCCCGATTTCATAATGTTCGTTCGTACGTGCATCCGCGGCGCCCAGCGCGGTGCCAGCGGCTCCCATACCTCTAAGAGGCCACCCACCTCCGTATAGACCCTTATATCCGCGGTTTACGCCCAATAGAGGCAGCTGCAAGAGGGCCCGGACGGGCACTGCGGCACACACTGCTCGCTGCTCGGCCATGCGGTAGCGTCTGGTGATGCCGCCCCTGCGCGGGCGGGGGCGTCTCGCTCGGCAGCAACTGCGCCGCGCAGCGCAGGTTCGAGGGTCGCGGTGGGTGGGTGCACTGGAAGACGTAGCGGTCGAGAAAGCGCTCAGCGACCGCTACGTCTCGAGGATGGAGCCGTCGCGCGGACCCGACCGGCCGACCGGCAGTAGCAGCAGGCGCCGGAGGGCGCGGGAGGCAGCGGCGACACCTCGGGCCAGAAGCGCGAGCCCTAGGCTGGTGAGGGGGCCCGCTCATGCGTAAACGGCTCTGGGACTTAGCTAAATCGCGCATCGAAATCGGGACGATTTTGCCAGGGCACCGTCACAAGGTGCGCCTTTTTCACACCGCATTCGAGCCCATGAAAACAACAATGTACCCCAAGCAGCACGATCACGCCTCGCACCGGTGCGGTGGTGCCGGGCGGCTCTAGGGGGTCAGGCTGGCTGCATGGCACCACCCGTAGCCCGTTTTGCTGCCCTGGCATCACCCGGAGGGGGGATTGAACATGGTACGCCGCGGAAGCTGCTCGACAGGCGACTTCATTGCGAACGCGGTCGCCGTTACTCCAACTTTCCTTTGCCGCTCCGGCCTCCATGGTCTGTGACGACCGTGACCGCCTAGTCCGCGCGAGGGTGCGGGGGGCCTCTCTGGGGCCACACGCGCCGCGCGGGCTGCACGGGGTGAGGCCACAGACTCGGCTGATCGCGACGCGGCGCTGCGCGCGCGGCGAGTGGCAGCACACGCAAAGCGGTGCACCTGCGTGCTCTGGCGCGCAGGTGCGCTCTGCGCCACGACCCCGCGATCTGCGCGCTCTTCCCAGAGCACACATGTCGTGTGTGCACGAGCGAGTGAGTGGCGTGTCTTTTGATGACTTTTTGCGCTCGCCATCGGTCCTAGAAGTTCATGCTGGCTCTTGATGTGCCGCTGCACTGTCGCCGCGCGAAGCTACAGCGCGTGGCGCACGGCGCCGCCTCGCCGCGCGGCCGGCCAGGCGCGGCGTGCGGATGGGAGGAGAGGCCGGCCGTCGTGACTGACGACCCGCCGACGGAGCGGTGAGGGCGTCCGCTGGGCTCGCTCGGCGCCGCGCGGCTCGACGGGCGGCCCGTCCGCCGTGCGGCGGCCGGAAGGCGCGCCGACACGCTCGCCGTCTCGCCGCACGCGCCGGCGAGGGGCGCCTCGGCCGCGCGGGTGCGCTGTCGGTGGCAGCGCGGTGCTCGAAGGCGGTGCCAGCCTCGAGAAAGGTGCGCGAGCCGCGCCTGCGCGCGTGCGGCGGGCCGTGGGGGTCGGTGCGGCTGCGCCGGGGCAGCGAACGGCCTGCTGGAAAGGCCGTGAGAGGCGCTCACCACCGGGCGCTCGACGCCAAAGAAAGCGGCGGCCGCCGAGCCAGATCACGGTCGAGCGCGTCGAACGAACCTGTCCGGAGCGCAGCGGCCGTGACCGTGGCGGTCAGGAGGCATGCACACATACGCGGACCGTCGCGGTACGAGGCAGGCATCGGCGGCGCGACCCTCGACACGCGAAGATGTACCATCGCCCCCCGAGGTCTCTTGGGTTATATGTGCGCAACGGCCCCCCCGCGGGGGGCGGTTCTGGTACCACTGTGCAGCGTCGTGCCCGGATCCCGGCCGCCCTGCGCTGGCTGGGCCTCACAGTAGCATGCAGCATCGACGGCGCCACGCCGGACCGATCGCCCACGGCAGAGCGTGGCGCGCCCACCCTTCCGAGCGGCGACAGACATCCCGCGCACGGCGCTCTAGCGCGAGCACCAGCAGCAGCACTGGGCCGCCGGTTGCGCGCGGAGGAGAAAAAAGATGATCTGAAGATCTGAGACATGGAAAAAAGGGCAAAGAAAGCATGAAAAAAAGTGACGAGCAATGGAGGAGGACGCGTGAAAGGTCCGCTCACTGCGGAAGGGGCTCGAGCATATCGAGCGCGGTCTGCAGCGGCACCGTGGTCACCATCGCGAACGAGTCGATCGCGCCGTAGCCGATGAGCAGCTCGTGGCCCGAGCCGTCGGCGGAGGGTTCGAGCACGATCGAGGACGAATACTGCACAGAGTCGCAGTCATCAAGCGCCTCGCCCGTGAGCAGCGAGAACGCGCGGAAGCAAAACTCCGTCGAGATCCGCGTGAGTGCGTACGGCGGCGAGGCGGACAGCGTGAAGAAGAAGTGCGTGTAGTGGTTGCCGTTGAAGGGGTAGTCGGAGCCGAAGCCGCCCACCGGCCCATGGACGGTGCCTGAGCCGCGCGCGAGGTGCCCCACGCCGAGAAGCTCGTTGCCGAGCGCGGGCACGCGCACGAGCATCCGGCCGCCGTGCAGCATCGACGTCCCATTCGACTTGTCCTCCCCCGCCAGGTCGGCGAAGAGGGCGGCGGCGGCGGCCGAGAGCTGTTCCCCGGCCGTCTCGAAGCAGAGAGTGTCCACGCGAGGGTAGCGCTCGCCGTACGTGCCGGGGCAGAGGCGCGGCGCTGCGCCCAGCAGCGACCAGAAGTTGGACACGTTGGCCCCGTCCTGCGCGCCGGGCGGCAGCGTGGTCACGCGGCCGACCGCCGTTGGGGCGATCCAGTCGAGCGCGAGGAGCTCGTCGCCCTCGACGAAGAAGGAGGGGTTCTTGTGGTTGCTGCCCTTCGGCGCGAGAGGCGGGAAGTCGGCCGGGTCGCACCCGGCGTGCGCGCACGAGCCGAGCGCGTGCTCCTCCGCCTCGGCGTGCGTGACGAGCAGCCGCGGCGCGCACCCCGCCGGTGCGAAGAGCTCCACTCTGAGCGGGACAACGAGGGCGCGCTCGCTCAGGGGCATCTCGAAGCCCTGCATCTGAGTGGAGTAGTCCTGCGCGCTCGCCACGTACCGCCCGCCGTACTCGAAGAGGCCCACGTCCATGAGCGTCGACTGCGCCATCCGAGGGCTGGATGGGTCCAGCGCCTCGAGCGGGGGCACGGCGCCCCCTCCCCCCGCGAGCTCGCGCAGCAGCGGCGTCAGGAGGAGCGGATCCATCTTGCGCGAGAAGAGGCCGACCGTCGTGGTCGGCTCGACGGGGCAGGTCTCGACCGGACCGCCGTGCACGATGTCGTCGTACACGCCGCCGACAGGCTCGCGCGTCCAGAAGGGCAGCGAGTTTAACGCGACCAGGTAGTGAGCGCCGGGCACGGCGCGCAGGGGCGAGTCGGCGGGCAGCACGACGATGGACGGGTTGTAGCCGTAGAAGTGGCACTGCAGCGGCACGCTCGCAGCGCGCAGCGGGCTCGCCATGACCGAGGGGGCGCGCGTCCAGTCGACGAGGCGGCTGCTCGACGAGGCGAGTACTTTCGGGCAGGACCCACGAAGAAAGCCAGACGTCGCAGTCGGCACGTGCGCGAACGTGGCCATCGTGACCCGGCAGCCGGAGGTCGCGTTGGGGGAGAGCCGGTACTCGTCGGTGCCACCCGTCGGCAAGTTCCAGTAGATGTTGGTGAGCAGGTGGGGTCTGCGCCTCCCCTGCTCGTGTGCGGTGTCGCGCCAGAGGGGCAGGCCGTAGCCCTTCACGCCAAAGCGGTTGGGGATGATGCCCGAGTCGATGGAATCGAGCGCAACGGCGGCGCGGTCCCACTGCTCGTCCGCGGGGCAGGTGGGCGGGCCGAAGCCAACCACCAAGCCTGCTGACAGCATGCACACACACCTCCTTCCCAAAGCCACTCCCAACAGAGCCGTGCCGAGATTCGCTGCCGTCCCTTTTTTGATGAAGGCTGCCCGCAAAAAGAATTTAAACAAGACAACTCTCTCTCACAGCACACAGGCTCGACACAGGTGCGAACTGGCGCAAGGAACTCGAAAAGGCACAGTTGTTGCGTCTCTCGACCGAGAGCGCTAGCCTCTACCCCTTCGGTCCGTCGAATCTCGGCGCGGCAGATGCGACGCCGAGACTGACGAAACCTCCCTGGTGGTGGGCTGCTGAGCCTCCCCCACACACAAGAACACCACAGGGACACCGTGACACACTAGACAACACATGCGACGAGGCGGGATGAGACTAGACGTCTCGGACGAGACTCGTCACTCGACGGAAACCAAGTAATGAACATCGGGTTGCTGCGCGGCGGGTCAACCCCATTATGCGCAGTCATCCAGATGTCATCTGCACCTAAGAGAGTCGCCGGCGTGGGCGGGAGGGGCGACTGTATCTGGTAGGCGCGGTAGCGGTAGACGGGCGAGCCACAGCTGGCAAGATGCGGATCGACATAGACCTTGCTCGAGCCGCGGCGAGCCGAAAGTGGAGCGTGTCAGGATCGGCGCCTCGGCTGTGAACTGACCTCGCTGTGAATGTCACCGCCGTCACAGACACTATTGTCCATGAATGGTAAGACTGATAGTAGAGTAGAATCGGGTCGAGCGACCGGCCCAGTCGACCGTCCCCTCCCCTCAGCAGAGCGGGCGAGAATCCTAACGGATTCACGCCTCCTCTGCCAGGGGCCCCTCCACTCGCCTGCACCTGCTCGAACCCTGAGCACTGTGCAGCGTTGCACGCGTTGCATGAATGCACGTTGAGTTGAACTCAAATGCACGAAGGTGGTAATAGTTATTGTCTTGAGTATTGCGCGTCTCTCGACCGAGAGCGCTAGCCTCTACCCCTTCGGTCCGTCGAATCTCGGCGCGGCAGATGCGACGCCGAGACTGACGAAACCTCCCTGGTGGTGGGCTGCTGAGCCTCCCCACGCTCGGCCTTTGATGTGGTATGTTGGAAGGTCGACGCCCGGAACGGCCTAAGCTCAGCTGAACCCCACGCATAGACCTCCTTGAATCACAGTCAAAGATAAGGGCAACTGGCGGATGGGTCGCTGACGTCGCACGACGATGCGCCCGAGAGACCGATCGTGATTATCGACGGATCTCGCAACTATCCCAGCGAGTAGTCCGGTGCTCCGGTAAAACCCCCCCGCCCCCGCCGTAGCGATGACGATGAGGAAATAGCACCCGACGCGAGTCGGGCCTACACTCGCTTGGGTGGCAAGCACGCCACAGTTGCACTCATCGACAGTGTCAAGCACCGTTGCCCCTGTCGACTTAAACGATAGCAGCTGCCGACCTGATTGCTGCTTCGTCGTGACCCAAATTGTAACTGAACGAGTTGATAATCCTCGGTCTATACGGACTGCTGCTTCGACGTCGAAAAGCATTCCTCAACCCGCGTCGTCATGCGCTCGAACAGCTGCTGTCAGCTTGGCGATAAGCTCCTGCGAGCCAAGATGGTGCGCGTCAGCCGGAGGGCTTACATGGCTGGCACGTGGTGGGTTATAAGCGCGGGGCTGGGCCTGGGCGTGATGGCATGTACCTCAACGCTCGATCCAACCACGGCCAAGCGAAAGGGATGCAACCGCAGCTCGTGCGAGCGGAGGGCGATCAACGACCGACAGATCGCTGCCGCCTCAACGCACGAGCATTCAGCTCGTTTCTTTAACCCCAGCATCCAGCTCACCCCTGATGGTGAACTAGTCGGGCTCGTGCGCGTGGACGCCAACGGCCCCTGGCAGGGACCCCAAGGCGAAGAATGGGTCAGCAGGGCCTATGCATTCAGCTTCCGCGCAGCTGTGGCAGACCCGTGCAACGCCACACTCACAGCCCTTCTCGGCGACTACGAGGACCCAAAGATCTTTCGCGTCGGAGATATGCTCTTCGGCCAGGCGGTGCAGCGCTTCTGGATCACCGTTGACGGATCTAGCCCGCCGGTGTACGCTGCGCAGATTGGGATTATTGACCTTAGGGAGAGCCCTCGCAGCGTGGCGGCGGCGGCTGTGCGGCCTTCGTTCTCGCCGCTGATTTACGCGGCCAGAGGAAACAAGAGCGCAATGAGTCGGGACATCTGGGCGATGGCCAGCCCGAACGTCAGTCTCGTTGAGCCGCCCGGCCTTACGGCTGAGTGGTTGGACACCTCGCTTGCATCGTGTGCTGCGTGGCGTGCCCCTAGCACTTGTCACGCAGCAACCAGCTCCGTTGGCTTCTGGTGGTCGGTCACGCGAACGGAGTGTGACCTGAGGACGCCATCGTCGTTCGGGCGGGGAGCCTCCGAAGGTCACCTTGTCGTGCCACCGCCCCGCCTATCGGACAAGAATTGGGCGCCGTTTGCAAGCCTGAGCGGTGGGCTGTTGTGGGTGCATGAGCTAATGCCACTATCCATCTGTAGCACCGGCAAGGCGCTCGACCTTGCGACGGCAATGGAAGCGAACGATTCGAGCTGTCTACAGTGCTCTGTGCTGCCGATCCATCACGTGGTTGCCAATAGTACAGGCGTTCTCGAGGCCGCGCAGGAGCGCGCCCTCGCGGAGACGGCCGCATTCGTCGCTCAACTGGGTGACGACATGGGTGAGTTGACCGCTGGCGGCGTGCACCTCAACGGCGCTCCCCTTTTGCCCTTCTGGGAACAGTGCTCGCTTCATGGCTGCATACCATTGCTGCTCGGCGTGGCTCACTATCGCGTAGACTCGAAGAACCCGGAGAAGACTTTCGCCGGCGTTCTGCACTACTACTCTCACTTCCTCTTTAAGCTGCGCGGCACGCCGCCATACAAAGTGCTCGAGACGAGCGCGCCGCTCAGGCTACAGATGGCGCAGTCACCGATAGAGATCGACATGCTCACGCACAACTTCGTCAACCTTACACCTGACTACCGCTACAAGAACCCAATCGGCACCTATGCAACCGCCTTTGTCGCTGGTGCGACTGGTATTGGCGGGAGTGACGCGGAGCCGTCGTCATTGTTGCTCTCGTACGGCTCGGGCGACGTGACAGCGCGAGCGTTGCTCCTCGCTCGCGCCGAGGTCGATGCACTTTTCTCGGGTGGTTCGTGATTAATTTTGATTTATCTGTCCTCTTTGCGAGTTTGCGAGCGTGGTGTGAGTCTTAGCGGGACTGTTTGAGGATCCCATATCCCAAATCTCGAACTAGTCGGATCCCAAATCTAAGATCCCATTTTCCCGGTGTACTCATAGATAGACATAGTATGCCGACTCCGGATCCCAAAAGGTGAAAGACTATCTTGACCCAATTGTGTATGGCACTGAAATTAAACAATCGACCAAGAAGGTGAAAACCAAAAGCTTAACGGATTTGAAGTGTGGGCTAGAAGTTCAGGGTCAGGGATGGGCAGAAAATGAATCGGGGGCAGCAGTTCAAATGTGAAGGTTTTACAGTTCGGCGGTTCGATTGTGGAGTGATGGGCATCTCAATAACGAAAGCACTTTTACGGAACGATCTCAGGATAATCTCGACCTATTCTCGATATCTAGAGGGGGTCTCGGGGGTGATTCGGGTCCGGTCGTAAGAGGGGATACTCGTGTCCACACAGCCGCAGTGCTGGCGGAGATGCGCTCTGTCGCAGAAGATCCGCAAGCACCCAAGTTGATGTTGCGGTTGTACTCATTCTGCTCAGCCTCCGTGCCGAGCAGTTGGCGGCCGCTGTGCCACCGTGCGCCGAGCCTCTGTGCCCAGCCAATCACCACGGCTCGCGCAGGTGCCCATGGTGCCAGCCTACGTATCGAGCGTAAGCCGGAAATGCTGTGCGGCAACACATCTCGCTTGTGTGCCGCACCAGCTCTCATGTCGGCCTCAGTGCCGCACTGCTCACTCCGTGCACTCACCGGTCGGTACCATGTCAGGAGACGGAACACGGAGGAGCTGTATAGGTCACTAGAGACCCACACCATCGCTACATCACCACAGCCACCAAGTCGGATACAAGTCGATGACAATGTGCGCGGCAGGACAAACCAAATGAGACGGTTACACAAGGACGGTCAGGCTACGGTCAGGAAGTAGGTTTGCGTTCACACTCTCCAACACGACGGACGCTTGCGTCCTAGCCTCCAACAACGCCTCCCCGGCGCAGAGGGGCCCCCGGAGGGATGCTCAACCGCCCCACGCCACGCCGCTTGCGGCGGTCCTATTCCCAGCTCCGCTGAGCGCTCGCGTTATCTTCTTTCCACGGGTGCCTGGACAGTCGCTCTACGCACCGATTTCTCCTTCCTACAGTACGGGTGCCGCCTGACAGTCGCTCCGCGTCGCTGCTGCGCCGCCTGCCGCTCCCGCCGCCATGCGGATCCTCATCAAGGGTGGCGTGTGGAAGAACACCGAGGATGAGATCCTCAAGGCGGCCGTCATGAAGTACGGCAAGAATCAGTGGTCGCGCATCTCGTCGCTTCTGGTGCGCAAGTCGGCCAAGCAGTGCAAGGCGCGGTGGCACGAGTGGCTCGACCCGTCCATCAAGAAGACGGAGTGGTCGCGCGAGGAGGAGGAGAAGCTGCTGCACCTGGCCAAGCTCATGCCCACCCAGTGGCGCACCATCGCGCCCATCGTCGGCCGCACCGCCGCGCAGTGCCTCGAGCACTACGAGCGACTCCTCGACCAGGCGCCGCGGCGGCCGTCCCTACCCCTGCCGTGCCCGCGCCCCTGCGCCCCGCTGCGCGCGAGCCTCGCCCGCGCCTCGCCCGCGCCTCCCCCCTCCACCCCCCCTCCCAAAGCCGCGGCCCCGCACCCGCCGCCGCCACCCTGCCCACGCACCACCTCTCCCCCCACCCCCCGCTTGCCGGCGATGCTCGACACAGGCGACGCGGCGGGGCGCGTCAGCGGACGGAGACGCGTCGGCGGCGGACGACCCTCGCCGGCTGCGGCCGGGCGAGATCGACCCGAACCCCGAGTCGAAGCCCGCGCGACCTGACCCGGTGGACATGGACGACGACGAAAAGGAGATGCTCTCCGAGGCGCGCGGGAGATGGAGCCGAGATTCGGAGCCGAGGGTGGAGCCGGGAGGGTGGCGGCAAGACGCAGATGCTCCCTCGCCGCGCGACGCCGCCTCGAGATGCCGAGGAGCCGCGGGTGGGGGAGGACGAGCGCGGGGGAGGGCGGGGGAGGGTCTCTGCAGGATGGTCTCTGCAGGATGCCCGGCTCCACGCTCGCCCCTCTCTCCCCCCTCCCCCCCCTCGCAACACGCAAGCACCCCTCCCCCCCCTTCCCTCCCCTCCCTGCCCGCCAGGCGCGCGCGCGCCTCGCAAACACGCGCGGCAAAAAGGCAAAGCGCAAGGCGCGCGAGAAGCAGCTCGAGGAGTCGCGCCGGCTGGCGGCGCTGCAGAAGAGGCGCGCGCTGGGGAGAGCTGGAGAGGCGGGGTGGCGGCGCCAGGGGGGGCGAGACGGGGAGGGGCGGCGGCGGCGGCGGCCCGCCCGCCACCAGAGGACGGTCCAAACAAGAAATTTGAATCCGGAGCGCCGAAAGGCCAAGCGTGACCGACAACCTCCGGTGCTGATGGTGGCGGCGGGGCAGAGGAGGGGAGGGAGGGGGGAGGGGGGGGCGGTGGGGGCGGTGGGGGCGGTGCCGCTCCGCTGCAGCGCCAACGCAGCGTCTTTCCCAAGCTGTGCTCCACCGCCCCCCCCCTCCCCCCCCTCGCAGGCGTGAGCTCAAGGCGGCGGGCATCGAGGTGGCCTCACGGGCGCGCAAGGTGCGCGGCATCGACTACAACTCGGAGATCCCCTTCCAGAAGACGGCGCCCGCCGGCTACTTCGACACCACAGGCGAGGACGCGTCGGCCGAGGCGCAGTCTCGCGGCGAGGAGGGCGGCTTCAAGGCGACGCTCAAGAGCAAGCTGGACGCGCCGAACAAGGACGCAGCCGAGGCCAAGGCGCGCAAGGCGGACGCGGAGAAGCTGAAGCGGCGGCGCGAGGAGGCGCTCCCCGACGTCATCGCCCAGATCAACAAGCAGAACGAGCTGATGGCGATGAAGAAGCGCGGCCGGCTGATGCTGCCGCCGCCCCAGGTGACGGACCGCGAGCTCGAGGCGGTGGTCAAAGCGTCGGCGAGTGGGCTGCTCGAGGACTCGGGGTCCGACGCCGCTCGCCTGCTCACCGCTTCGTACGACGCCACCCCCGCCGCCGGCGCGTCGGCGCGCACGCCGCGCGCGGCGGCGGGCGGCGGAGGTGACGCGGTCCTCGAGGAGGCGGCGGCGCAGGCGGCGATGATCGCGTCGGACACGCCGCTGCTCGGCGGCGAGTCGGCGCCGCTCGCCTCACTCGGCGACTTTTCGGGCGTGACTCCGCGGCCAAAGGGACTCACGCAGCAGACGCCAAACCCGCTCGCGGCGGCCGCCACGCCGGGCGGAATGACGCCGTCCGCCGGCGGGGGGGGGGGGACGCCGTTCGGGGGGGGCGGGGGCAGGCTGACGCCGGCGCGCTCCGAGGCGGGCTACTCCGTCGCGGGGCTCTCCAGCGTCGGCTCCGAGTTCGGGCGCACGCCTTCGCGCGACGCGTTTGGCATCAACGAGGCGGACAACTGGTCGGACGTGTCTGGGCTGCCGCCGGCCGCCGCCAAGCGGTTGCAAAAGCAGCGGCGGGAGGCGCTGGCCGACGTGCTCGACCTGCGACGACTCGAGCTCACCCGAGGTCACCCGAGGCTGCCTCGAGATTAGGCGCTGGCCGCCCAGCTGGCCGCGCTGCCTGCCCCGTCCAACGAGTACAAGATTGTGATGCCGGAGCTCGAGCCCGCTGAGAGCGGCGAGGGCGAGGGGGACGGCCTCTACCCGGACGGGTTCGAGGAGGACGCGCAGGACACGCTCGAGCGGCAAGACGCGGCGGCCGAGGCGGAGAGGCAGGCGGAGCTCGCGAAGCGGTCTGCGGCGCTGCGGCGCGAGTTGCCGCGCCCGCTCGTCGTCAACAGGGAGGAGATGCTCGCCCCGCCCTCGGGCGCCGACGCCGCCGGCCTCGACGCCGCCGAGGAGATCCGGGCTGCGGACCAGCTATTGCGCGCAGAGATGGTCCGCCCGCCCCGCCCCGCCCCGCCCCGTCGCGCCGCGCCCCGCCCCGCCCCGCCCCGCTTCGCCCCGCCCCGCTTCGCCCCGTCGGGTTGCGCCGGGTTGTGCCGCGCCGCGCCCCGCCCCGTTTTGCCCCGCCCCGCCCCGTTTCCCCCAGGGGAGGGGGGAAAAAGCGGACCCCCCCCGGCAGTTTCGCCCGAGGGGGAAATCCCCCCCCCCCCCCCCCCCCCCCCCCCCCTTCCCGCCGCAGGTGCGCATGCTTGAGGCGGACGCCGCGTCGTACCCGGTGCCGGGCGCGCCGGAGCTCAAGGGCAAGAAGCGGCGCCCGCTCAGGCCGCTGCCCGAGGAGGACATGGCGGCGGCGAGTGCGATGCTCGACGAGGAGACGGCGTCGCTCGCCGCCGCCGCGCCGCCGCTCGACGAGGCGTCTGTCCGGGCCGCGGCCGAGGCGGCGGGCGGCGAGCTCTCGTACGTGCCCTCGCTGCAGCGGTACGCGCCCATCGCGTCGGTGCCGCCCGCCGAGGCGCTGCAGGCGCCGCAGCAGGCCTTGCAGCTGCTCAAAAACTTCATGGCGCGCGACGCCAAGCGCGCGGGCAAGGCGGAGAAAAAGCTGGACGTGCTGCTCGGCGGGTACAAGAAGCGCGCCGCCGCCCTCGGCAAGGAGATCGAGGCGCAGCACGCGGCGGTGGCGGAGCGGCGCATCGAGCTGGCCTGCTTCGAGGCGCTGCGCGGCCGCGAGGCGCTTGCCGGGCCGCAGCGGGCGGAGGAGCTCTCCGAGCTGCTCTCGGTGCAAACCTCCAAGGAGGAGGAGCTGCAGGCGCGGTACGCCGAGCTGCTGCGCACGCGCGACTCGCTCCGCCAGCAGCTGCGCACGCGCGCCGAGGCAGCGTGAGGGCTGCGCGTTGTCCTTGTCGCATGCAGCACTTCAGGCGCAGGGTGGCGCCGTGTATTCGGACCCGCCGCCGGTCCTCGCATACTCCGAAGACGCCCCGGCGCACCTCCGTGGAGGGGCCCTGAGATCCTTTGCAACGTTTCCACTCCGTCATAAAGCCGTAAAGCAAGATGCCATTTCACTAGACACTAGTCATTGCCATCCGCACACCGCAGCGCGCGGGGACCCCGGGACGGGGACGGGGGACGACGCACAATACGTGTACTATTCTGGTAACCGCCGGCCCCTGACCCCCCGCGACGCCCGAGCTCGCCCCGCGGACAAGTGGTCGTCCCAAGACGCACAAGAGAGAGAAACTCACAAAGATCAAAGAGGTTCTGGCTCTGGGTGAGTGGCATGGACCATGTCCATGTCCATGTCCATGTGGTGAGTGGCGCGGTCCATGCCACTCAAGTGCGCCTGCCGCCTCTGCGCGGTGTGCGGCCCGCGCGGCCCGGCGGCCCTCTCCCCGGACACCGCCACTCTCTCGAGTACGGCAACTATATCGACACCGGGGAAATGCTCGCTGGACGCTGCCGCTGGTGCCCGAGGGCGGAGACCGTGGGCCGATCGCCCTGCGTCAATACGGCTTTATGCGCAGCTAGTCCCTCGCAGCGCTCAGGCAACCTGCCCTGCCAACAGCTCCATCTCCTTCTCCATGACGCCGGCACCGTTACCAGCCAGAGGCACAGCTGCCCCGACGCGGCCGGTCAGCTTGGACACGTCGCGCGGGGAGGCATGGTCGAGTCCAAAGCGCGAATACTTGAAGTCCGTGGCGTAGGGTGAGGACATCAGGTAGTCGGTCGGCACGCCCTCGACAGCCCCCTCGGCCATCGCGCTCGTCGTGTACTCGCCGCGCACAGGGAACTCGTCCTCCTCACCGAAGACGGCCTTGTTGTCGCCGTCCCACGACTGGCCAATCACGCCGTGGGGCGGCACGGAGAACTTGGATTCGGCGACGCGCGGTGTCATCTGCACATCGATGCGCCGCGCGGGCCCCGCCACCGAGCGTTGGACAGCCTGCGGCATGACCGCCAGCTCCCACTCGCCAGTGGTGACATGCAGCGAGGAGTAGTCCATGTGCAGCGAGACGTCGTCGACCACCTTGGTCGTGTGCGGCCCGAGCGAGAATGCCTGCTGGTTGTCGATGGTCGCGTTGATCCACCCGATGTTGAGCGGCCCGATCTTGCTCGCCCAGTACGAAGCGCGCACAGTGCGCCCGCCGCCGGTCAGCGCAACGACGTGCGCCTGCGTGAGGAAGGAGCCGTGCACGAGCTTGTGGCGAGGGTGGTCCGTGTCGTGCAGGTAAAAGTCGGCCAACTCTGTCATCACGTTGAGCGAGAGGTTCTTGGCCGAGAGGAAGTTGTAGATGCCCTTGTCGGTGCCGCGGAAGTCCGCCTTGCCTCCGTGAGCCAGCACCAGGTGGGGATCGCCGTTTGCCCCAACTGGCGACGGCGGCGGCAGCAGCGGCGGCGACGGCGGCGATCGGGGTGCGGTGAAGGGATCAGTGGCGTTTGGGCAGTTGAAGCCGTCGTTCAGTTGGGTTTCGTCGACGGCCTTTGCCACCCACTTGAGCGTGATGGGGATGGGAGCTGGGGACACCGCGGTCGTCCCACTCACCTGCGCGCAGACTCGCTTGCCTGTTGTTGCTCTGGGGAGCGTCGTTGGGGGGTCCCTCATCTCGAAGGCGCACGCGTCGTCCCCGGTACGGTCGAGAACGGCCGTAAGCGAGGTCAACTCCACCTCGAAGATTCCGGATCCAGAGTTTGAGGCGAACTGTCGCAGTGGGGTGAGGGGGGAGGGAGGTGGGGTGAGGATGGCGCGGGTGCACGTGTCGGGCGTGGTGTGTTTAGGAGGAGGTGGTAGTGGTGTGTGGGGGGTTGTGTGGGGGGTGGTGGCGCGCACGTAAATCCGGTCGCCATAACGAAACCCAGCACCGAATCCATTCATGTTGCGTTTGCTGCTTGTGGACCCGGTGTAGTCGACTACGACGCGGCTGTATGAGTAGCCTTCGACATCCCCGGCGCCGTCGAGCTTGATGATCCAGACGCTCGCATCACGTGCTCCCAGACCGATCAGGTACGTGGAGCTGCTGTACTCGAAGTCGATGAAATCGGCAAAATTCTGGTCGCCGGGCGTCCACGTTGTCATTTTGGTCACCCCGTCTACGGTGGAGTTGGTCCAGACCGCCATGTAACATTGGCCCTTGCAGTTGTTCGGGAGGCCATAGGCGTCATACATGTCTGCTGCGGTCAGGTTCCAGCTCTCGACATTTATGGTGCCGCTGCCCCTGCCTTGTAACACTTGCGTCATGTTGCAGTCGGTCGTCTGGTACTCGAGGCTGTCGCCTGGGGAGGTGAGGCTGTGGACGGCTGGCAATTTATGGATCTGTTCGCCGCCTGCATGGCCGAGATAGTACGTCCCATTGCGCGTGATGGTGGCCGCGTTGCCCCAGTAAGGAGTTTCGCCCTGCGGGAAGTCGTCAGACACGGGCCCGCGAGCTTCGCAGAGACATTCCGTCGAGCTGCGGACGTCGGAGAAGCGGCAAAAGTACCCTGGATCCGAAGACGGATCGGTCGAGAAGAGCCCGTACGCGATATTGTCGTTGATGTTGTAGCCCTGCGCGTTCAGCCTCGCCGTCGGTAGTTGTGCGGTGTTTGCAGGCCACTGCCATATCTCCTCAAAGTCGCCCGAGCCGAGGTTGAGCTGCATCGTCCGATAGTTGTCGTCGTCGTCGCCCTTCATGATCTGGATGGGGAAGGGGTACCTCGTGCAGTCCCAGGGCGCGACTGGCCAGACTAGCTGGGACGTGGCAGTCTGGGAGAGGAGCACGAGCAAGAGGGCACCTAGCTGCCGGCCAACAGGAGGGCCGCGCATTGTGCAGGCAGTAGAAGCCAGCCCCCGGGGCGCCCCGGCAGCGGCCAGCGCTCGTGGGCGCTGTAATGCGTTCGTGGCGGGCGCTCACAATGAAAAGAGGCGCGCGTTTTTTGGAACGTGAACCAACGGACGAACGAGCCTAACGGACGCACGTCGGTCTTCTTTTCATTGGCCCTGAGGCCTACATGCACGCGGGTCCGTTCTGCGTCCTTTCTCTTTCTTTCTTCCCTCAGGGAATTCTTTCTCTTGCCAGTCTTCCCGTGCCACCCCGTGAGCCGTGTTGACTGTTGTGCGAGGGATTTTTGTCGTAAAAGTCTTTCTTCTTCGTAGCTGCCAACGTAGCTTGGCGTGTTGGGACTTGGCGCATGGCGGTCTCAGGCACTCGGGCCCTCCCTGTGCACAATATACAATGTATTATAAACAAACAACAGCTACAGGAACAGCAGTAGTAGTCTTCCCAAGACGCAAGAGCGAGTCAGACCACTCCCCGGTCTCGCCGGCTGTTTGCGTATTGGCTATTGGCTGCGCCCCTTTCCGCAGCCAAGTGTACCGTGATAGTGCGCGCGCAACAAATCTCAACCAGCGCTGCCGGAACCGGCTAGCTCGGACCGGTGGCAAAGTCCGGCTGCTGCGCCCCGAGCTCAGTCGCACCGGACGGCAGCTGTGCCTGTACATACGCCGGCTGCAGAGCGCCCACGGGTGCCATCGGGACTGACCCGTGCGCGCCGGCTGCAAAGGCGGGCTGGTAGAGGCCTTGCGCGAGCTGCTGTGGGTGTGGTGGCCACATCACCGCGGAAGGCACCTGAGAGGGGGGGGGGAAGAGGGGGGTAAGGGGGGATCGCCGAGGGGGCGGCGCTGCAGCGGCACCGGGGGGGGGGGGGGGGGGCCCCTCCCGGTGGGGAGGGGGGCGGCAACCGCCCCTGGCCAAATTTGGAAAACCGGGGGCCCCCGGGTGGCCTCTGGGGGGCAAAGGGAAAATTTTTTTTTTTTTTCAACGGCAGTTTCTGCCCCTAGGGTGCCCACAGGTTGGCTTTGGGCAAACCCCCCAAAAGGGCGCCCCATTCCGGGGCCCCCGGCCAACCGGCAAAAGGAGGGATTTTTTGGGCCTGGCCCTGG